CCAGGCACTTTCCCTGGGCCCTGGCCAGCCTGCAGGCCCATGCTCCAGCTCCGGTCTCACCAAGACTGGGGGCTGCTCTTGGGGTCCAACAGGGGTGCTGGCCCTCCTTGCAGCAGATCCCAGGGTGCGCACCTCTGCCTTCCTGTAGCTCAGATTTCTTGGTCACCTGGAATCGATTCTTTAAAACGGAGGCTTGATTTGCTGATGTCTCTGAGGACGCTGCTGTTTAGACCCTCTGGCGATGCCKGTCCTTTGTCCTGGGGCCACCTGGCAGCAGTTGGTGCTGCGCTGGTGCTTCATGGGGGAGTCTGTCTGGTGGGGAAGGGGAAAGGGGGTTGTTCCCAGCAGGTGCTGTCTGATGCCCTGTCGCCACCTGGGGCGTGATCTTTGTGGGACGTGCTCCCTCTGCCACCTGGCCAGTTTATCTGGCGGTTGATGCTCCTGGTTTCCTGCCTCTCCCTGGGTTTGGGTGACTGGACACCACAGGAATTGAGAGAACCGCGCACAGGTGGGACTGGCTGGCTCAGGTCTTGCTGGTGTCCCTTCCCCATGGTGTGACCTGGGCCAACTTGGGGGATGGGGATCCATGATGTGCCTGGCGGGTCCTGTGCCCAGGGCCCCTGGCTTCCCCACTTCCTGCTCTCATGTGGTCTGTGGTTTCCCTGCTGGACACGTGCCTGTCTTGCTGTGGAGGTGGTTGGGTGTCGGTGGCCCTGGCAGTGGCTCAGCCGCGTCCTGTTTTGACGGGCATCTTCCACCAGCGCTTCCTCAGGGTGCCCGGTGCTCCTCCACGTGGTGAGTTCCCCCGTGTGCCTGCTCTTGGCACAGGAGGACGCCAGGGTGGCCCCGCCTTTCCATCAGCACCAGGGACACCCTGGGGTCGTTGTTTGGTGGATGGGGGCACCTGCAGACGCCATTGCAAGTCAGGATGCTCTCGCTTCTTTCTCTGAAGTCCTGTAGGAGGTTTGCCTCATTCCAAGGTTCTAGAAATTTCCTTGTGATGTGGCTCAGTTTTCCTTTCAGAATTCAAACTCCCCTTTAATAGGAAGACGCACTCTTTCTGGAACCTGGGACGACCGTGCTCTGCCCTGGTGGCCTCTGCCCGCTCTGAGTGCTGGGAGACCCCGTGGGGGTCTGACCACGAGGCTGGCTCCCAGGCTGGTCCGTGGGGGGTGCTTCTGTGCTCAGGAGAACTTCCATTTTCTGTGCCTTGCCTCTTCCGAGAGTCGGCCCTTGGCTTCCACTTGGTCCTCCTCGGCAGCCTCGGCACCTCGTCCTCACGTCTCCCGAGGAGACTGCAGTATGAGGGCTTGTCCTCCTTCCCCGGGGCAGGGCAGGGCACCAAAGGCCTCCTGGAGGACAGAGCTTATGGGATGCCCTAGAGGGACGAAGGCTGGCCAGGCGAGACGGAGAAGGCCACCTGCAGGCCATGGTGGCTTCAGCTTCTCCATCGGTATGCACAGAGCCCTCCAGCCTGGCACTGCCCGGCCCCAGAGGACTGCAATCCCTGGAGTGGAGGGGACATTTGCTGCAGGTAAAGGGGCCACGGAAGGCCAGGCAGCGCGGCAGGGCAGCACTGTTGGAGGGGACCGGGCAACTCCAGGCCCCGAGATGGCCAGGCCTCTCCTCCTCCTGCCAGGAGTTGAGAAGCAGGTAGAGGTGGAGTGGCATCCAGGGTGTCTGCAGGGAGGGCACTGAGGTGACAATCACAGCCCACAGTCTGTGGTCCGCTCCCGCCTCCTGCCCTTCCTCAGGCTGGAGCTCGTGTGTGTGTGTGTGTGTGTGTGTGTGTGTGTGTGTACGCTCATGCACGCTTTGCCCTTCTCTCCCTTTGCAGAGTCCTGCTGGTGCCTCCTTAGTCAAGCATCTGCTCTGCACCCTAGCTGTTGACACTTTCCCTACCTGCTCGACTTCTCTGATTCATTTTGACTTTTTTCACATTCAGTGCAAAATCGATGGACAATGTATGTTGGAGAGATGGATGGGTGGATGTCTACATGGAGGTGTGGTTGGATGGATGGATGATAGATGGGTGCATGGACGAGTTTGCATGTGTGGAAGGATGGATGGAGGATGGAGGATGGGAGGGAGGGAGGGAAGGAGGGATGGAGG